AAATCCTAGAGGAGAACACAGGCAACACCATTTTTGAACTTGGCCACAGCAACTTATTGCAAGATACATCCGCGAAGGCAAGAGAAACAAAAGCAAAAATGAATTATTGGGACTTCATCAAGATAAGAAGCTTCTGCACAGCAAAAGAAACAGTCCACAAAAGTAAAAGACAACCTACAGAATGGGAAAAGTTATTTGCAAACGACCTCTCAGATAAAGGACTAGTATCCAAGATCTATAAAGAGCTTATTAAACTCAACAGCAAAGAAACAATCCAATCATGAAATGGGCAAAAGACAACAGAAATCATACAGAGGAAGACATAGATATGGCCAACAAGCACCGCATCACTGGCCATCAGGGAAATATAAAACCAAACCACAATGAGATACCACCTCACACCAGTGAGAATGGGGAGAAGTCACAAGACAGGAAACAACAAATGTTGGAGAGGATGTGGACAAAGGGGAACCCTCTTATTCCGTCAGTGGGGATGTGAACTGGTGCAGCCACTCTGGAAAACTGTGTGGAGTTTCCTCAAAGAGTTAAAAATAGATCTGCCCTACGACCCAGCAATTGCACTGTTGGGGATTTACCTCAAAGATACAGATGCAGTGAAACGCTGGGACACCTACACCCCAGTGTTTATGGGAGCAATGTCCACAATAGCCAAACTGGGGAAGGAGCTTCAGCATCCATCGAAAGATGAATGGATAAAGAAACTGTGGTCTATGTATACTATGGAATATTACTCAACCTTGAGAAACGACAAAGACCCACCATTTGCTTCGACGTGGATGGACCAGGAGGGTATTATGCTGAGTGAAATAAGTCAATCAGAAAAGGACAAACATTATGTGGTCTCATTCATTTGGGGAATATAAAAAGTAGTGAAAGGGAATAAAGGGAAAAAGAAAAAAAATGAGTGGGAAATATCAGAAAGGGGACAGAACATGAGAGACTCCTAACTCTGGGAAATGAACAAAGGGAGGTGGGCAGGGGTGGGGGTGACTGGGTGACGGGCAGTGAGGGGGGCACTTGATGGGATGAGCACTGGGTGTTGTTCTATATGTTGGCAAATTTAACACCAATAAAAAATAAATCAATCATCCTTTTGTTCCAAGGATGGAACACACACACACACACACACACACACGCACACGCACACAAAAGGACAAACATTATATGGTCTCATTAAGTTGGGGAATATGAAAATAGTGAAAGGGCATGAAGGGGAAAGGAGAGAAAATGAGTGGGGAAATATCAGAGAGGGCGAGAGAACATGAGAGACTGCTAACTCTGGGAAACGAAGAAGGGGTGGTGGAAAGGGAGGTGGGTGTGGGGGTTGGGGTGACTGGGTGACGGGAACTGAGGGGGGCACTTGATGGGATGAACACTGGGTGTTATGCTATATGTTGGCAAATTGAACTCCAATAAAAATTAAAAAAAATAAAACGAAACAAAAGAAAACAAAAAAACCAAACAGCAGGTTTCCCTTTTTAATGGCTGAATGATATTCATATATATTTTTTCTTTATTCATCTATTTGTTTATGTATAGTATGTTGTTTCCATGTCTTAGCTATTGTAAATAATGCTTCAGTAAACATGGAAATACAGAAATCTCTTTCAGAGAGGGATTTTATTTTATTTTGGATATGTAACCATAGGGTGGTTGCTGGATCATATGGAGTTCTATTTTTAATTTTTTGAGGAACCTCCATCCCCCATATTGCCTTCCATAGTACCCATATTGAATTACATTCCCAACCAGTTAACTTGCACAAGGATTCCCTTAACTTCAAATCCTTGCCACCAGCACTTGTTATCACTTATCTTCATGATAGCCATTCTGACAAGTATGAGGTAACATTCACTGTGATTTTGATTTGCACTCTTGTGATGATCAGTAATGTTAAGGACATTTTCATGTACATATTGGCCATTTGCATATCTTCTTCAGGGAAAACAGTCTATTCAAATCTTTTACCCATTTTAAATCGGATTGTTTTTTGCTGTTGAATTTTCTTATATATTTTAGATTTTTTTTTTTTTATTTTAGATGTTAAGTGCTGTTTGCAAATACCGTTTTCCTTGCCATGGGTTGCTTTTCATTTTGTTGTGCAAGAGTATTTTAAGTTGATATTATCTCACTTTTTTTGGTTTTATTGCTTATAATTTTGGTGTCATATATAATGTGTCATTGTAAAGACCAATATCAGGGATATTTTTTCCCTGTTTTTTTCTAAAACTCTTACGGTTTTAGGTCTTCATGTAATTGTTAATCACCTGAAACTAACTGTAATTTAAATAAAACCTTTAAGAAAAGATACCCAAAAAACGAAGCTTGTTTTAAGATATATGTTTCAAGAAATTCGTTTAAGGAAAGTGCAAGTGAGGGACGCCTGGGTGGCTCAGCGGTTGAGTGTCTGCCTTCAGCTCAGGGCGTGATCCAGGGTCCCGGAATCGAGTCCCTCATTGGGCTCCCTGCGGGGAGCCTGCTTCTCCCTCTGCCTGTGTCTGTTGCCTCTCTCTCTCTCTCTCTCTCTCTCTCTCTCTCGCTCTCGAATAAGTAAATGAAATCTTTTTTAAAAAAGGAAAGTGCAAGTGAGAAACACCATTAAATAAATAAATAAATAAATAAATAAATAAATAAATAAATAAATGTTTAATTATGTCAGCATGTTGATGGTGTCCATAGTTCTCCACTTTTAAATTTTAGCAACATTGTAGCTAATATAAAAGACTAGGTGGGCATATTGCAACTCTACCCCTTAATGGGTGTGTGACCATACAGAGGCTGCTTAATTACTCGTGTGTTTCTTTTTCTGTATGAACAAAACCTGAAAATAGACATCTACATTCTATACCTTAGTAGGAATGAAATAGCATAGGTAATATTTACATGAAATAACATAGATGAGAGCCCCTTCCCCTCCCTATACTGATAGTACTTGGCACAAGCAGGTAGTAAGTGATATATTGTTCCCCTTTGTCTTCTTATGCTCTGTGTCAGAAAAAAACATTCATTGAAGAAAAGTTGTGTTGAGAGAAAGGATCTTTTTAGCAGTATGAGTTTTAGGTAAGACTTTTGTTATACTGTTGGAACTGCAATTAGTGGATGAGAAGGGCTCATACGTACTTAGCTATTACCGGGCCATCTCTACACCATACTACTGTCTTCTCCACACACAATTCCATAACTGCCTCAAAAAAGGAAAGGATATGCCAGACTTTACTCTTGCTATGAAAAAGTTTTTTTTTTTTAAGATTTATTTATTTATTCATGATACACATGGGGGGGGGTGCAGAGACACAGGCAGAGGGAGAAGCAGGCTCCATGCCGGGAGCCCGATGCGGGACCCGATCCCAGGACTCCAGGATCACGCCCTGGGCCAAAGGCAGCCACCAAACCGCTGAACCACCCAGGGATCCCCTGAAAAAGTTTTAATTGAAAACCAGAGTGCTGGGCTGAATACAGCTTCAGCAGATTCCCTGTTAAATTAGAAGGGGTTTTTCATTTAAGTCCTAGTGTTGATATGTCACCATGCTCTGTCACTTTGAAAAGCGATAGTGCTTTGTTATCAGCACTGAGCCCTGACAGGCTTTTGATGTAGACTTAGACTAAAATAGATTGCCAGAATGATGAAGGCGCTGCTTACCTTCTAACACTCCAGGCTGTGGATGTGGGCAAAGGTGCTGACGTATTGCTCTGTCCAGCCCAGTGGATTTGATCATCTCCGGCTGAATATTTTCACATTTTAGATTATAAGTTGAAATTGTAGAAGAGTTGATAGGTTTTCAACAGAAGCATGAATGTTACTGATAGCATATGATTTATGCCATCTAGAGACTTAATTTCTTCGGCAAATTATTAATAATTAATTCTTGCCCTTTAACTTATACATTCTATTTAGAAAGTCTTTAAAGAAAGAAAACCATACTTGGTGAGTTATAGAGGAAGTTGGCCTGCCAAAAAACATAGTCATTCCTTGAATTAAACACCATGTGCCAACCTTCTGCCAAGCACTGAGTTAGGTGTTGCAAACAAAGACAATTAAGAGTACCCGTCCTCAAGCAGAGAGATATATACAGAGATAGGTACTTATAAAATAATGCAGCAAGTGAAATATTATGCATAGAATATTACTGAAGCACAAAAAGCAATTATCTTGATATCTCTTAGGAAACAGGTAACAGAAATAGTGCCATGTGTAACCAGTATCCTTGTTCCTAATGACCAGATCAGCACATTCAATGTATAGCTGAATATTTAGATTGATATGACATTACCTTTCTTGGCTAGGAACAAGATTTCTCTTAGGAGAGGCTGAACACGCATATTCAAATAGAGTTTGCTATCAGAAAAGTGGAAGGCTTTTTGAGGGCTCAGAATTAGTATTTCTTTTTTTTTTTTTTAGAATTAGTATTTCTTCTTACATTTGCCACCCCACCCCCAAACATGCACACAGTTTAACTCTCTGTACACCATAGTGTCCCATGCCTTTCTGTTGTTGGCCATATAGAAAATAAATACTTTTTGAAAAAGCTTTGCTCTAAAAAAAAAAAAAAAAAAAAAAAAAGCTTTGCTCTATAACATTTCCAGGCTCCTTCATGCGGGCTCACTTTTCTACTCAGCATGTTTCTCTAAATTAAACTCTGGTAGATACGATAAGCAAATAGCTAAAGAGCATTTAAAAGAGTTTACACTGTGAATGGAAAAATACAGATTTTACTGCCTTTGTTGCCTTTTAAAACTAAACCTCTTCTTGAATGTATTTGTATAGGATTTTCATAGCCCTCCCCTCTGGAGCAATGTTTTAGCAATGCTGCTCTGTTTTAATCACTGGATATTTGTTTTTTTCTTCCACACTAATTTCAAATCACAAACTAACATTCAAATTGAAAACAGTAATAGGTTTACAGTCTTTCAATTGACTTTCAACTTCATGCTATCTTTTCAGAGCATCTGATCAAGTTTAACACCATTGGATAGTTTAAAACTCAGTTTGCAGTAATCCACAGCCCTCAGAAATATTTGACTTCTACCTATAAGTAAATAAAGGTAAATAAAAAGTCTCTACATCTTCAATAAAAGTTTTCAAAAATGAATCAGCCACATGTTTGAGTCCCATCTCTGTGAGCAAATTTCCAGAATAAATAATTTCTGGGCTTGGCTGAATTCCAGAGCACTGCAGGTCTCAGTCCAGAGGGCTGCATATATATGCAAATTGGCCATTCAAATTTAAGGAAATACCTGCTTTCTATATTTTTAGATGCTGCCACTTATATTTTGCATTTTATATGATCATTTCCTTGTCTACCTTAAACTATTAAGTTCATGAGTATGGGAATCTGTTCATTGTATTTCCAGCCATAGCTCAGTACCTAGACCAATAGTAGGCACTCAAGGAATACCTGCTAAATCGCCAAATCCCGTGTTTAGGACTGTGAGTGAATAATGGGAACAGAGTTGTACTCAGATGTTAAAGATGACTTTGTATATATTGATCCCTAGATATATGAAGTCAAAAATAACAACAATAAGGAGGGCTTAGATAACTAAAAGTGTTCCTAGAGTAGTATAGCAAATAGGTTCCAGGGAGCTTCTTGGACACTTTCGCCTACCTCACTTATTAACTGGCATTAAGGTGGGAATGTATAGCACAATGCTTCCTTTAAGCAACAAACTTTCAGAAGTATTGCTCCAAGACACAACTCACATAGCAAATAAAGTATAATGTCTTAGAATGGTCTTTAGGACCTGAATTTCTAATTGAGATCTTGTTTCTAACATTTTCCTAACTGACACACACACACACACACACACACACACATACAAACACAAACAGGGCATATGCAATATATACTTCTGTATGTGTAGGTATATATATAAGAAATAGCAATGCTATCTATATACAATTGATACATATACTAATATATATGAGTAACTATATATTTATACATTATATAAGTAACATGTTTGTAATATTTAAATATTACATATGTGATATATATGTAATACAAACTTATTTATTATAGAAGTCATAACTAAGTTATTAAGTTGTTATCCCTTTTGACAATAAATATCATCTCTCTTGGTCTTACTTACTCTCTATTTCCCAGTTGGACTTTTAGGCACTTGATGGTGAGAGAATGAGTTAATTTTACCTCTCTAAACAAAGCCAACTGGGAAATGGCTTGGATGCCACCATGGAGGTAATAGAAGATGCCCAATTTTGGTAAATAAAAAACATGTGACTGGATGTCTCCTCATTCTTTCAATATTGTATAAATAATACTCTTAAAAATATCAAACAGATCATAAGAATATCTTATAATATTTCAACTCCAATTTTATAGAGAAACACAAATTGTAGCTGTCAGAATGATTCTCTTTCCTAAGCAAAACAACTAACGTAGCAACAAGGTGTATGAGGAGATCAGCAATTTATAAAAGGACTACCTTTTGCTTCTAGTTTTAAATTCTTCACTGGGTCAAACTGTGACTTCATGGCTACTTATTTAATGTGTGTCTGTGTGCATAGGTCTGTGTTTTCTTTCCAGTTATGTTGCCAGTTTATTCAGCAATTTTACCATTTTAACAAAGGTTATGGATTTAAGACGTTTTATAGCAGAATTATTTATTATGAACAAAGTTTCATCTTAATAAAGATGTACTTGTATGGACAAGTACATTTTAATTTTTTCAAGATACATTAATGAAAAAATATTCTGGATCTGTTTTCATTCTTTTATTCTACACTCCTTCCCCACAAAAAAGTATGCACATATACATAATTATTTTTTACATAATTATTAAGACAAAATTAATATGATTCAGTCAGAGTTCAGGTATGACATTTGTTAATTCATATGGCTAGTGCTTGAAAGGAAATATTATTTATATAAAGGTAGTCTTATAGGGCTAAGCAACAAAAGAAAACCGAATTGAATATGGCAAATAACATGGAATTAAGTACTGTTTCAAGTGTAATTTTTTTTAATGTGGTCATTCTGCACTGTTATTCATTCTGTTCAAAGAAAAAGCAACCTTGAGTAACATATTTTTAAAATCAGCAACTTAATTAGAGGAAAAATTTTAAACAGGCAAAACAAAACAAAACACCCAGAGTATGAAAATCAAAACAGGAAATTATGTTACAATAAGAGGTAATCAAATCATTCCTTTAAGAAGCGTAGAGGCGGCAGCCAAATGGCAGCGCCTGAGGAGCCGGATATAACCCAGGAGCAGACAGAGAAGCTGCTGCAGTTTCAGGATCTGACTGGCATAGCATCTATGGATCAATGCCGCCATCCCTTGGAACAGCATTACTGGGACACAGAGGCTGCTGTACAGGACTGATTGAATGAACAAGAGGGTGTGCCAGATGTTTTCAACCCACCTCCATCCTGACCCCTGCAAGTTAATACAGCTGAGCACAGGCTCTACAGTTATGCTGTTGCAAGACCACAGCCAAGGGGGCTGCCTGGATGGGGTTATTACTTAATAATGCTTCCATTCCGATTTACCTACACAATACTTGATATATTTAGGTTTGCCCCTCGCAGCTGGGTCACTGACCCCGTTGGGGACATTGTTGCATTTATGCTCTCTTTTGAAGAGAAATATGGGAGGGCACACCCTGCCTTCTACAGGGAATGTACAGCCAGGCACTTAACGATGCCAAGCGGGAGCTTTGGTTGCTTTTGGTTTGTCTTCATGGAGATGATCCCCAGGACTCCGATGAGTTCTGTTGCAACACACTCTGGGCCCTGAAGTTATTTCCCTAATAAACACTAGGATGTTTCACTGGGCATGCTCCGCAAATAAACCTGAGGGATATAGGGTCTTGCAAGGTTTAGGAGGGAACACCTATCCATTCCTGGCCTTGATTATGCTGAAGGATCAGAGAACGACTGCAGTGGGACCCAATGACCTTATTAACCAGCTGACATGTATCATGGATGCAAACCAGACTTACCTCGTGTCAGAACGCCTTGAAAGGGAAGAATGAAATCAGACCCAGGTCCTGCGACAACAGAAAGACAAGGCCTATCTGGCCTCTCTCAGGGCTGACCAGGAGAAGGAAAGGAAGACACGGGAGGAGCCGGAGCTGAAGGGGCGCAAGGAGGAGGAGGAGGTGCAACAGCAAAAGTTGGCAGAGGAGAGAGGTGCGCGGAATTTACAAGAGGAAAAGCAGGGGAAGCTGGAGTGTCTGCCCCCAGAGCCTTCCCCTGATGACCCTGAAAGTGTCAAGATCATTTTCAAATTAGCCAATGATTCTCGAGTAGAGAGATGATTCCCCTTTTCACAGTCTCTAACAGTAATTCATGACTTCTTCTTCTCCTTGAAAGAAAGCCCTGAAAAGTTTCAGATTGAAGCCAACTTTCCCCGGTGGGTGCTGCCTTGCATCCCTTCAGAGGAGTGGCCCAACACCCCCACACTTCAGGAGGCCAGACTCAGCCACACAGAAGTTCTCTGTTCAGGACCTGAAAGATGAATGACATTTTTTTTCCCCTCTCCGCTCCTACCCTAATCCCTAAAAGAAATGGAGAAACAAACAAACAAAAACTGAGAAATTCATATTATTATTATAATACAATATTTTTTTAAGACTGCTGTATCCTAAGGGAGGATCAGAAACCATGCAGCCCAAGAGTCACCACCTGTGTGTGTGTGTGCGAAGGTCAGCAGTGAACGTTCCCACTGGCAAGCCCACCCTTCCCTACTGCCTCTGCACCACACACCTTCCAAAGAAAGGAGACTCTTCGACCCAGTCATTGTCCCAACTGGGGAAGGGGACATTCCCACTAGTTCTCATTCATCCTTGCTTTTATGAAAAATAAAAGTGGAAAAAAACATCTATCAACCAGCTACTACTGCAGCATCTCCTGACGACTTGCTTCTCCTACCACCAGAGAAGAGGCACAGAAGAGAGATGTTCCTTGAACTTCCCACATTTTATGAATAACTTCTAAATGTTTTTTGTTGCTTTGTAATGACCAAAGGAATGAGGCTGACAATGTTGTGCCCCTAAGTAATAAGCAGGTCAGCACAAGGCGGGTGCAGCCCAAAATAGTCCTGCTCTGCTTGTCCAGGGGTAGGGGATTTTGTTAAATTTCCTGAGTCCCACAACATAGCTGTTTTATTTTTTTTAACTTTATTTGATAAAGAGCCAATTCTTAAGCCCATGAATTCATGCTCTGGGCTCCTTAGCCCACAAGAATGTAATAAAGGTGACCTGGGCTGGTTTGTGCTTATTTTTGCCATTGTCCCTCTCACATTCCTAGAGAGGTGGTTCTTTTTGGTCCAACTCTTGCTGTCCTTTCTTACCATCTATGCGCCTCGCTTGGAGTATTGGGAGAAATCTGAGTTCATTGCCCCACAAAGTCTCTGTACAGATATCCCCATACATGCAGTGTGAACTCTCTGTATACTCATTAACTGCAGTTATCCCTTGGAATCTGTACTAGATGGTTACTATGCAATCTGAACCAAAGGATAGCAGCTCTTCATTCCTCTTCTGATGTGTGCGTGCTCTTCCTGCCCAGCCCCGAGTGTTCCTGAATTGCCAATCTTGGTGCCTTATCAAACAACTAGCAGGGTCAGTGGTAGAACCAGCAGAACCCCATGATGGTGCCCTGCCTGTCTCAGTGGGAGAAGTGGGTGGTGGTGGTGGTGGTGGTGGTGGTTCAAGGATAGAATTAGAAACCTTGAAGGGAGCCAAGACAGAACTCCAGGTGTGTGTAAACTGCTGGAAGGTACAGTTAGTTTCTGATATAGCCACCTGTTGGAAGCAGGTTTTAATCCTCTCCCTTTATTGCTGTTTTGAGGTAATAGGGGTTTTTTAACCTCTGGATGGATGTCCCTTCTTTGGTTGAGTTTATGGTAATGGGTACATGGGTCATGCCATGTATTATTAACAGATGTCAGCATGAGCTGGCAAATATTCCAAAGTGTTCTATAGCTAGACTGGTGCAGACTTGTAACACAGCAACCTACTGAAGTAACTGGAGCCTAGCATGCTTTGAGGCCCGGCTTCATATCAAGATAAAACATAACGTGGTAGATTTGCAGTCTCCAAAGGTTTTCTCTCTTGCTTCCCTAAAATCTAAGGGCAACTCTTTCTCTTTTAGGTAGCAGTGATGTACGTGGCTTCTCCTCTGCATCCCACAGTGGTCGGGGTAAACATGGGTAAGGGACAGGATAAGGAACCTCACAACGCACCACCTAGGGAGCCCAGGAATTACCCAGTGGTCTTGGCACAGATGTCTAAAACACCATCTCTAGGAAAATTTAATTTAATTCTGCTCCTGGCTGCCTATTATTCCATTTTGTTTACTGCTGCCTCAAGGCCAGATGAGTGGGAAGTCACTGTCTATTGGCATGAAAGGTATCTGGAATGGATACCAGGATAAAGCATGATCTCTATTCAGCCTTATGTGAAGTCTGCTTCATGCTTACAACCATGCAAAGAGGAATCTTCCCACATAACTTTGAGTCTTCCTCCCTGTCAAACTCATAGCTATTTCCCCGGCAGTACACAGAAGGGCAGGATATTAAGGGCCTTCTCTAGGTTGTGTATTGTTTTGGGTGTTTTGCCCACACGTCTTTGGGAAGTTGTAAAACTTTTTCCTTAATTCAGTCTGCATCTTATTCTACAACGTACATGTTATGTCTCTTGGCCTTTCAATACTTGTTCAGGGAAGGAGGTCAGGTGCCAGACTATTAAGAAAAAGTGTATGTCGGTACAGTTCTTGGGATGGCCTACCCATTTACTTTAGGTTTCAGGAAGTTTTATCTGAAGCACATGTTCCTTCCTAGTCCGTGTGGAGACAAGCCTGCTTTGCTCAGACCCCATTCCTGTCTCTTTACCGTAGGGCTGCTGCATAGGTGTCATCTCCCTTCCTCCTCCAGGAAGGATGCACATTTTGTCACTTAAAGCCAGTACAATCTGTTACTCCCAAGGACCTCGGAACTCCATGGGACCTGCAAGGGAGAAAATACCGAGAAGCCGATGATCTGCAAGGATTCGCTCATTTCCAGATCACCTCTGGGTTATTTCAGCTCTTTATCAAACAGCAAGCCATCAACCTAAAAAGAAAAACACTTGTTTCAAGTTCTCTTCTGCATCCCAAAACTGACGTTGTAGATTCAACTGAATAACATGGGAAATGACCAAGCAAAGACACCCAGTTGGAGTCAGTTGAATTTCTGCAGTTAGTGGGGCATTTCTGGTCTTTTCTTCCACTTCTGCAGAATTTCCTGCAGCAAATACTTCTTTTGTCCTTGCTTGCCTCCACTGTGATGTTTGGATAAAAAATGATCAGAGAATATCTCTTAAAAAATAATAAGGAACCTAGAATCTTCAGCTGAGCAGTCATTATGAAAATTGCTAATGGTCAAGGCCAAGGAAAGAGGCCAAGGAAAGAGTTTCAGAAAATGACTGTGGGAGGAAGGAGTGATAACCCCCAGAATGCAAAATCAGGGGAGTATTACCTGGTGCTTGAACAAGGAGCTCCACTTTGCAACTGTTTCCTTTTTTTTTTTTTTTAGGACTTGTGAGGAATGCAGCAAACAGGAAATCCCTCCACAAAAGATGCAGTGTCCCAACTTGTACTGCGCCTGAATAGTTTACATGATAATTTACTGAAGAAATCTAGTGTACTTTAAATTTTTTTCATAAAAGTTTCCATTGTGTTATAGGTTAACATTAAATGTTTTATAACAAAAAAATCATTCCTTTAATCATTCTGGTAAAAGATTAATATCAATGTAGTATGAATAAGCCCATTATAAATAGCATGTTGTCTGAAAATGGAAAGAAGAGTTTAGATACATGAACCTGAAAGTCATCACTAGAAACCACTAAGATACCTAGATTTTTCATCTGAATTCACTCATTCTTAATTGATCATTTATCTATCACCAGTAGGTTGGACTTTTTTGGGGGTTGGGATAAAAAAAAAAAGAAAAAAAATAAACTCTCCTTAAGTAACTTTCATACAATCAAGAGAAAGAAAAAATATAAACAGGTAATAGCAACATTCTCTATCTGTATACAAAATGCTTATAGATGCTACTTATTTATTATATGCCCATGTCAGAATTTGTATACATAAACCAAGCCAGGGATGCTGGCCACCTTTTTGAATTTTTTCACCATTTACCCAGCTCTTCATTCTTGTTTGATAGTTATTAAACACCTGAGGGGAAGAATCTAGTAAAACCAAAATATTTAAATAGTCACACAATGGTCATTTTGACAGAGATGTTGCTGGTCATAAACCAGTCATGTGGGGATCCCTGGGTGGCTCAGCGGTTAGTGCCTGCCTTTGGCCTAGGGTGTGGTCCTGGAGTCCCGGGATCGAGTCCCACATCGGGCTCCTGGCATGGAGCCTGCTTCTCCCTCTGCCTGTGTCTCCGCCTCTCTCTCTCTCTCTCTCTGTCTGTCTCTAATGAATAAATAAAATCTTAAAAAATAAATAAATAAACCAGTCATGTGAATTACACCAAGTTATTTTGCAGCTGATTATACAGCTGTAAGTACTTCTTTTAGTGATTGCATCAAGAGTACTAATATATACATCTGGATTGGAAGACTGAGATGCAGTATTGAGGTGGAAGGCTTATTTGAAATCCATCTGCTATGGATTTTAACTTCACCAGCTTGGTAAAATGATCTGAACCACATAATCTACTCTAGTATCCTTTCCCAGTTTCATAGGGAACAGCAGGAGAGATACAAACTTGCGAGAAATCCAAAGTTGGAAACCTTTTCATGTAGTGTTCCTGAATCTCAAGGAAATCCAGCTTATTAGTTTCAAAAGAATCTTTCAGCCACTACTGCATCTATGCTTCCATCTGGGTGGGGACCTAACTGAAATGTGACTCCATGTTGGAAACCAGTATACAGAAAAGCCAGTTCCCAGCTTCAGAGGGGATTGGCAGAATACAGTTTGGATCCAGGTTCAGTAAGTACAATTTGCTAGTTTATTTTAGTTTCCAAAGCCATCCAACTTTGATTTGCCCTGGCTCTTGATTTTTTAGAAACTTGGCAATAGAATGATCTTATTAAATAGATCCTCCCCTCATATAAGCATCTTCAGATTGAGAGGCCACATAAATTTTGTTTTTTCAATTCTAAACGCATACAAGATTTTTATCTGTCCCATTATGGATCAGACTTGCCTTTCGTTTCTCCCTAGCTCTCCTGTATTTTTTTCTGTATTCATTTAGATTTAATTTTTTTAAGGCAAGAACCATGTATAAGGTGACTTATTCATGTTCAAAATCTTAGTACTTAATACAAAATCTGGCATATAGTCATTAATCAATAGCATTATAGTTAATAATACATATTATGAGGAAAACATTTTCTATTAACATAGATTACTTTTCAGGCCTATCATATATGACATATGTATATACACATGTATACACATATCTGTGATACATATCTCTCTATATGTTTCAGTAATAATTGGTATGTGAAGTTGTACCTGCACATATATATATAATCTCTATCAGATTCCCTAGCCATAATATCAACACAGCAAAGAATACAACTTAATAAAAAGATTTATGATTAGTAAGTTAAACAGAGAATGGCAATGTGACCCAGCAATTTCACTCCTAGGTATCTGCTCAAAAGAATGAAAACTATTATTCAAACAAAAAATTGTATGTAGATGTTCATAGCAAAATTCACAATAGCCAAAAGGTAGAAATGATGCAAATATCCACCAACTGAGGAACAGATAATCAGAATGTGACGTAATACATGTAAAGAATATTATTCAGCCATAGAAATAATGAAGTCCTAGCACATGCTACAACATGGATCAAGCTTGAAAACTTTATATAATAAGGGAAAGAAACCAGACATAAAAGTTACATATTATATGATTCCATTTATATCAAAAACCCACCCTGACACATACATAGAGACAGGAAGAAGATCTGTGGTTGCCAGGGGCTGGGCTGGGCATGAAGTGATGGGAAGATAATAGTTGGTTTCTTTTGGGGTTGATAAAAATGTTTGGAGCTAGATAGAAGTGATGGTTGTCACACATTGTGAATGTAAAGTAAATGCTAAATTTCACATTTGAAAGTGGTTAAAATGGTAAATTGTATGTGGATTTTACCATAACAAAAATATTTGTGCCAGAATTGCTGTTTAATCAAACTACATTTTAAAAATTCAAAATCTTGAATTCATTATTTTTTTCTAGAATTTTATAGCAGTTATAGCTCACCTGACTTACTTGACTAAAATCCTTTTTTTTTTTTTTAAGGAAACTTCAGTCTATTGAAATCTCTGTTCTCTATCGATGAAAATATATCAAAATCATTAATTATTTTAGTTGAAATGATTGTTATCCATAGTGCACCTACTCTTTTCTTTTCCATTATAATAACTAATTCAATGCTGTTCCTTTGAGAAAAAGGCAGTTTTTTTTAAATTAAATACTGAAAATCTAAATATTTTTCTGGATACAGTTAATTTTTTCAAAGAAAATTATTTTAAAAGTTTTACCAGCCTTGCTTTGTAGTTCATAATCATTAGAGTTCATAACATAATCATTACTTTACTGTCTTACGTCTCACTGGATAGAGATCATCAATATGTAAATTATATATATAATAGATGGAGTTATAAACACTAAAAGTATCGAGTCAATGGAATAATATTACGAAGGAGAGATGATGTTGAAATTATGGTGGTGTAGATGAGCTTCACTGAAAAATATAAACTTTCACATGCATCTAGAAAATTGATAGGATTTGATAGTTTACCATAGCAGGAGAGAATGATGAACATTCCAGGTGTCCAGGCAAGACAGAAGATGCTTCAGGATTTTAATATCTCCATTGTAAATGATTGAAAATGCCTTGCCACTATTTCCCAGCATGTAACTGCATCCACTCATACATGTCCAATACACTCTGGGATGAGAGATCTTTCTAAAAGACAAATCTATTTGGCCTAATAATTACAATAGCATGCATTTATGCAGTGGTTACTTTGTCCCAGACACTGCTGTGTCTTCATGGTTAAACACTTAATCATCATAATAATTGTGCAAGATTTTTCCTTACCCTGTCAAAATACTTATAAATATTACAAGAAAATCAGATTCTGAATCCTATCATGAGCTGCCTGTATCTTCTGACTCAATGTTCAAACCAAATGACTCAAATACAAGAGAAACAGTAACTTATCCAATTATCTAATAGGTACTTACTGAATGCCACGTCCTCTCACCCCTCCATATGTCTTCGTCTGTGTGATGTCTATGGACTCAAATGTTCCCTACTACCTTCGTATTTCCTCTTTTGTATGAATGTACATTCCCTCTCACCTTTGAGCAGTATTCTCTGATGTAAAAATAGTTACACTTTGTTTTTATGCCCAGGTTTTGGCTATTATTTATAAAGCTGTGTTAAATATTCAAATATAGTTCTTTGTGTAAACATATATTTTCATTTTTGTTGGGTAAATGCCTATAAAAGGAATTGCTGGATCATTAGGAAAGTCAAGTTTAACTTTCTGAGAAACTGCCAAACCACTCTCCAAAGTGCAGTGGCACATTTCATTTCTTACAATCATTTTGTCCCTCATCTTCAACAAAACTTAGTATTATTGGTTTTATTAATTTCAGCCATTCTGCTGAGCATGTAGTGCTATCATATGTGATCTGGTTTGTGTTTTCCTAATGACTAATGATGTTGAGCGTCCTTTCCTGTGTATTTTCCATTTGTTTATCTTTTATGGTGAAATGTATGATAAAATCAAAACCCCATTTTAATTAAGTTACTTGGTTTCATACTAAGGAGTAGTAAGATTATTTAGATATTCAACTTACATGTCCTTTATCACATATATGTGTTACAAATATTTCACTTGAATTTACAACCCTGAGGTCAGGAGTCCCTCGCTCCACTGACTGAGCCAGCCAGGCTCCGTAGCCTGCTTTAGTTTTTTATACTACTTTGGACTCTTATTTTTCCTGAATCTGTGTGTATATACTTTTTATCAACTTGGGAAAATTCTGGCTATTCGTTATTCAAATATTTTGTTCTTACTCTGTCCTTCATTTTCTAGCAATCCAATTACATAAATGTATGCTCTGTTAATATACCAAGTCCTTTGTTTTTAAGCTTGGTAAGAAAGGTCTTGGGAAATTTTTATACTTAATTTAGCTTCAAAACTAAGGCAGTATCCTGAGGACTCTACTTAATGCCCTGCGTATCACTAGGTCTTTCCACACTGGCAAGTGGAAACATGAGTTATCCTCAGCCCTGTGAGAGCTCCAGGAACTTTTCTACTCCTTTCCTGTGGCTCTTTCCAAGGCTTCTGGTACTTTCTTCTCATGAAATGTACAGAGCAATACTCAGTGACAGAACTGGGAGATTCTTTGAGGTTTTACAGAGTTGTGTGTCTCTGCAACTACCCACTCCACTCTCTTATTCTGACCTGTCAAATCTAGTTTTCTTGACTGCCCCCAAAATTTGGTCTCTATCTCTGCAACTTGGCAAGATGGCTTAATTCCATTACAGCTAACCCTCCTTTGTTGTTTGGTACAATTGAAGGGCTCATCTTTTTTTGTGGTTCACTTATGCCAGGGGTCATAGTCCTATGTTGCTTGTTGTCCAATATTTGAAAAATGTTACTTATGTTTTGTCTACTGTCTAATTGTTTAACACAGAAGAGGTTTTCTTTTTTTTGGTGTTTTGTTTTGTTATTGTTATTTCATCCTAACCAAGGTTGAAGTTCTAGTCCCAATTCGACATGTTGAGTTTAAGGAATTGATGAAACATTTAGCAAGGTGTCAAAACAGGCAAACATGGCCTTAGAAAGGAGCTTATTTTTATATTAAATTTCCCAATTATTTTTTAAGTATAAATTTGAAAGTAGAGAAATAAGTGATTCATTGGGAATTACTATATATTATATTCAAAATGCAGAAGACTAAAGATGTAATTCTTGGGGAGTTATATGTAAGAGAAGAAAGATTTATAAAAGTAAAGTTATATGTTAAATAAAAGCAGGCACAATTTTAAGAAATTTGGAGTTATTCTGAAAATTGGTACTTAAAGGAAGAACCATGTTCTGATGTTTTCCCCTAAAATTTCAGCAAGTTCTAAAAAAAATAAACATAAAAATAAAATAAAATAAAATTTCAGCAAGTTCTTGATTGAAAAATTTTAAAGGGATATTATTTTCCAATGAAATGACAGTTGGTATCAGACATTTGTGCCTGCTGACAAGACAGTGACATGGTACCACAACAAGTGCCTATGATTCAAATGGTGTCTAGACAGGAGGGATCGTTTTGAACTTCTTATTTTTCACTGTCATCAAATTCTGTATCATACATTTTCTTTTATGCACAGTGATTAGACATAGATTTTACATAAAAAGAACATAGAGGGGACAATACTGTTGTATACTGTAAATAATTAGAGGAGTCAGTTTAAGTAGATTGTTCAAGTTAAGTAGATGTTCAAGAGTATAGTCTATAGCTCTCTCATGAAGATAAAATCAAAACACTGAACTGTGACTTAATTCTTTGATATATACATGTACACATGCATGCATATTTAAATGATTGAGATATGATACCAAATTAAATCATCTGTCAATCTAAAATAATTCTAGTAGACTAATTTAGTGACTATTCTATTTCACTTTGCTAGATAAATATTGTTAAAGAGTTGTAAAACTAGAACCTTTAGTTTTATAATTACATTAAAATATATCCTTGACTCTATCTTTGATTGGTAGTTCCCTGGGAGATGAAGGAATTTTGTGATAAAAATATAAGTGAACATCTGAATTTAAAGAAACCTGTGAATTTCTAGAGAATTATAAATTATCCTTAAATTACCAAACTTTAAGTGATCAGAAATCATATAGAGCTAATCATGTCAGCTATTCTGAAAAAGTTTAATAATTTCCTAGTTAAGCCCATTTGGAAATGCACAGAGAAAAAATTTTAAATGCTTTAAAAATTTATTATATCTTTTCGGAAAGAAATTTCTGGGGTAAGTACAGTACATTTCAAAGACATAAGAATCATAAACATGAGTGGGAAATATCAGAAAGGGAGACAGAACATAAGAGACTCCTAACTCTGGGAAATGAACAAGGGGTGGTAGAATGGGAGGTGGGCAAGGGGTGGGGGTGACTGGGTGACGGGCACTGAGCGGAGCACTTGATGGGATGAGCACTGGGTGTTATGCTATATGTGGGCAAATTGAACACCAATAAAAAATAAACAAATAAAAAACAAAGACATAAGAATCAAATGATCACGTCTTTACTAATTTATTTTGGCATTAAAACCATGTTCAATTATGGATCAACTTTGTATACATATTCCTAAGAACTATCCATAATTCCCCAAGTTTAGATTAACTTTTAGTAAAATATATACAAAGAAACTGTAGTCTGTATTTTATTTTCCCCAAACCTATAGTAATTTTATTTATGAAGCAAAAATAAAACATTTATCTTTAAATTAAATAGCGTCATAATACCAACATTTTGGAAAGCACTTTATTCTTAATCTACGTAGGACTGGAATAAACATAAACTGTGACCTACTGTATCTTAACCCCTGAGAAACTCATATCCGCATGTACCCAAATGTATGTATAATTTTCAGAAAAGCATTGTTCAAAATAGTTTGACAGTAGGGAGTAATGTCCAAACATTTATCAACAACAGAATGCATAGAGTGTGGTATTATCATTACAATATTATAATTAAGACCTATAACAATAATTTAACCACAACCACACTCAAGAACATAACTGCATCTTATGATACATTGTGATAAAGATGTAAGACATAGAAATACATATAATGTGATTTTTTTGGAGGGGGTTAAGAACGGGTAAATCTAAACTTCATCCTTTGGGATGTACACCTAGATAGTAAAACAAAAAGAATAAGGAAATTATTGCTAAGTTATGATAGGGTTCTTGCAGAGTGATGGAAGGTGATTGCTTGAGGGTTTCTTGAGTTCTTTTTCTTGGCCTAGATGTTGTTTATAGGATCACATACATTTTAATTGTTTGTTAAACAATTATTTGTCAAAGCTGTGTTTGATGCACTTGTGTCTATGAATGTATTTTACAATAACAAAATATTTTTAAATATAAAATTTCAGAAATGACCGACCTAACAATATTTGGTATATAACAGGTTTTCAAGCTCTTTACAAGTTTCTGTACAAATGACTTTTTCTCTATGTCAGTTTTATCATTTGCTATGTAAATATTAAGCATCCTCTTCATATTTCTAAGCAGATTAATCTATGATTTAATCTTTTTATTTGAACAAACTTTGTTTAACCGGTGCAGCCCTGTCAATTTCCCCATATGTTGCTTTCATATTTCACTATGAATAATTTATCCCTCTCAAGTTAATATGGAAAAACATGAATTTTATTGATGATACCTCTTGTGTTTAATTGTGAAGCACCACTGTGACTTATGAGACTTGTGTTTTTGTTATTTACTTGTAATTTATTAAGATCTGTCTTTGGAAAGGGGCAAATAGAACACATGTTGTTGATGACAATATTTGATAGTCAATAATCATTACCTGATTAAAATATAAGAATCAGGGATGGGATACTTATATCTTTTGTAAGTAAAGGCAGGAATATAGGCTGCAGAGAGAAAAAGGACAGAAAATCCAGGCCTATGAGATACTTGGAGATGGATGTCTAAGAGATCCAGATACCCAGATTCACAAAAAACAGTGGCATATGGATTATATGCCATATGTAATTTCTGAAAGAATTCCTATCTGCTAAGTATCAATCCAAAAAGCAGTAATTGATGAATAGGATTGAAGTTCTTTCAATAGCCTGCTTTAAATATAGATGGTATAAAATCTGTTTCGTGAGAAAAAAGATAATCTGATAGAAAACTGTAGCTATATGATATTAAGTAAATGGTTCTTATTTCTTCATATAAAAAGCACGTGACCGCCATGTAAAGCAAGTGATTTTTAGGTTGAAAACCTCAAACATGCCTGGTTCTTGATGTGCAGAATCCTTTTCTGTATGAAAGAAAGACCTTGGATCTTTTGGGGTTTTTATTTGAGGATTCCAGTGTTCAGTATGTTAGTAGAAAGTCCACCAGTGTAGCTGACGCATAAGTTCACAATCTCATGTAGGCAACTGCATCCTTGGGATGGCCTGCCCCATGCTAATTGCCGACCAAGCAAGAGTTCATTTTTGCCTGCGTTCTTCCATGAGGATACAACTAGAATGAGTGCTGGTGTGGGGGGAGGCTAAACTCCACATCTACCCATCTTAGGTTCTCCCGGGGGGACTCATTACCAACAGGATATCATCAAAAGAAAAAATTTATAAAGGTTTGCAGTGCACATCACACTGAAGAAATCAAAAACAAAGAGGAACTCAAAGCAGCAGCTTAAAACTGTCGGCTTTATAGCGTCTTCAGCAAAGAACAATAATACATTTGTAGAAAGAATGATAGCCTAAAGAAAAGCAGTTTTAGGCTATCAAGGGCGGCAAACTGGAAAGGTAAATATATGGGAAGACATTAACACTAAGATTTGTTTCTGGATTCCTCTTCCCAAAAATATATATACATATATATTTTGGGGTGGCTTACCCCGGCTTCCTTCACAAGGCTTTATACCTGGCTCTCAGGAATCCCTGCTGAGCCAAGCTCTAGTTATTGGTATTTGAGTTAAATTACAGTTATAGGTGGAATGGGTGCATGAGTCATTTCATTAGAATGTTTCAAAAGATGTGCCCTTAGTCTCTTCTTTGGCCAAAAGTGTGTGCAGAAGCCCCATCCTCTAAGGGATTGTACAGAATGTCTGGCGCTCTGTAGAGTTGGTTTTTTTCCCCCCTCCTGAGGAAAGCAAGATTACTCTTTAACAGTTAAAAGCATTGTCCTATTAGGGATAATGTAACACCACATCATCCTTCCTGTGTAGTACATCATTATGCATACACTATAAAAACAGACTCTGCATGGTGACTAATTTTGGAATAAACCCATAGACTAAATCACAGCATATATAAATCATTTCTATCTCAGCTGCTCACTTAAACCTGAACAAATTTTCTGGAAGCATGTTAATTTTCCTATGATACTCCTTAATATTCCTTGCAGAGCTGGTTTGGTGGTCACATATTCTTGCAGTTTCTGCCTATCTTGGAAGCTCTTGATCTCTCCTTCTATTCTGAATGAGAGCCTTGCTGGAGAGAGTTTTCTTGCCTGCATGTTCTTCTCATCTAGGACCCTGAATCAATCCTGCCAGCCCCTTCTGGCCTCCCAGGTCTCTGAGGAGAGGTCTGCTATTAATGTAATAATTCTCCCCATATCGTTAAGAATCTGCTGTCTCTAACTACTTTACGGATTTTCTCTTTTTCTATGGAATTTGCAAGTTTCACTATTAAGTGTCGAGGTATTGAACGGTTTTTATTGATTTGTGGGGAGGACCACTCTATCTCCTGGGTCTGAATGCCTGTTCCTCTCCTCAAATTAGGGAAGTTCTCAGCTTGGATTTGTTCCAATATGCTTTCTGGCCTCTGTCCTTCTGGGTGCTCTCTGGAACCCCAGTGATGCGTAATTCTTCCTTCTGAAGCTGTCATGTATTTCCCTTAACCTTTCCTCGTGGTCCTTTCATTGTTTTTCTCTGTTTTCCTCAGCTTCCTTCCTTGCCATCAAGGAGTCTTCTATGTTGCTCATTCTTTCTTCCAGCACCTTATGCCTTGTCATTTGGACCCCCAATTTGAATTGCACCTCATTTAATTGATTTTTAACTTGAACCTGATGAGATCTTAATTTTGCAGTCCTGAAGCCTCCACCCGCCCCGGGGGGAGGCAGGACTGTGGCCCTGTCCCCCGTGCCCTGGGCTCCGGGGCCTTTGCTGCTGGCATCGCGCTCTCAGGGCCACTGAGGGCGCCCGAAGGCAGGCACAGAGTCCCGCCTGCCCCCCCCTTCTCCTCGACGCCCTGCTGGCTGCAGTTCCAGAGCTATCCTGAGCTCGGCCCCTTCCTGTCTTGTCTTGTTAGAATCCGCTCCCCCCACCACCACCACCCCGCTTCTTTCTTTCTTGGTATCCACCTTCCACCTTGTTAGAAGGGAAAACCCTTCTCTTTAACTCTCAGGTCACATTGGTAGGTGTCCAGGATGACTGGAAATTTATCTAGGTGAGTTGGCGGATCCGGTGAGTTGAGGACTCTACTCTCAGGCCTTCTTCCCCCTGTTGTCTCCTTTTTGTTTTAAAGCCCTTTCTGCGGATCCCTGGGTGGCTCAGCTGTTCGGCGCCTGTGTTTGGCCCAGGGCGTGATCCTGGAGTCCCAGGATCCAGTCCCACGTTGGGCTTCTGGCATGGAGCTTGCTTCTCCCTCCTCCTGTGTCTCTGCCTCTCTCTCTCGCTCTCTCTCTCTCTTCTTTCTCTCTAGGTCTATCATGAATAAATAAATCTTTAAAAAAAAAAAAGCCCTTTGTACATGATCTACCAGTGTGTTGTGGTCCCTGTAAGGGCTCCGTTTCCATTTCCACGTATGTTTATGAGTGAGTTCTGCAATTTTGGGTTTAGCTCCACTGACAGCAGGAGAGGAGTTACTATTCCAGCAGCATTGTTTTCAACTCATGAATGAAATGGAAAGTCATTTCCCTGTCTGTCTGGAACTTGTAATTACTTGATTATTTAATTAGTTTCCTTTGTATCTATTTCATTTTGCATGACTCTATTATGGTCCTGCCTTTCTTTATGGTAGTGCATTTTCAGGATATCCCTATGCATAAAAAAAATCATTATTCTAGTTTGCTTGTGTCCCATTCATAGGTCAAAAGTTCCAAGCCATATTCCTACTGTTTTCTTTCTTTTTTTTTTAATATTTTTTTCTTTATTTATTTATGATAGAGAGAGAGAGAGAGAGGCAGAGACACAGGCAGAGGGAGAAGCAGGCTCCATCCACCGGGAGCCCGACGTGGGATTCGATCCCGGGTCTCCAGGATCGCGCCCTGGGCCAAAGGCAGGCGCCAAACCGCTGCGCCACCCAGGGATCCCTCCTACTGTTTTCTGTGTGAATATTTCAATTTAGAAGGTGAGGCATCATTTGATGGCCAGAATAGTAAAAATGCATTTTTCAATCAAGTTCAGTTAATTTTTCAAGATTTAATTAGTTAATTAACTAATCAATTTATTAAATTGAGGGAGAGAAAGAGAAAGGGAGAAAACGTGAGTGGGGTGAGGGTTAGGAGGAGGAATAGGCTCCCCATGTGGAGGGACCCCCACATGTAGCTGAACCCCGACCATGGGATTAGGTCCTGACCCCAGGGCGTACAATTAAGTGACTGATAACACTGGCACCCTACAACTCAAATGTGATTATGGTTAATGATTCTTAGAGTAAAGCTAATATTTGGACATTAATCTATTGCTCAACTTTAGCAAAAATAAATCTTCTATTGTTTTTATTCAATAGATGTTATTACCTAGTAAAAACTGATCTTTACTGCTCTGAACGACTTTAGGAAACCAGATGGAACATCGTGTTTGAGACCATGGTGCCCAAAGGAAGTGAAAGGATACCTGGAGGAAGTTGTTTGTCCTGAAGGATGTGTCTCTCCAGTCCATTCAGGATGGTGACTACAACATTCCCCAGCCAAGCAGGAGACACCGTTGATGAGGGAAAGTACCCCATCACTGTTTTATAAGCAGCTTTGGTGTCGCCAATGGTAAACATCCTCTCAGATAAGCTAATGCATGGCAAGAGGCAAGCACTCAGCACCCTTGCCACCAGGAAGATTATGTATTTCATCTCAAATGGACGCTGTCTGATGGTCATCAGAATTTGTGTGGAAAGCAACCGAGAAAGCAACATTCGTTCCTCAAAGATACTGAGCTCACCTTGACAGCATTAACTTGCACTTCTCCTCTGATGTTCTGGAATAATCTCATGATGAAGGGATCATAAAGTGCTTCTAGAAGGACACAGAGTACCCATCAGCACATGGGTCATGCTGCTCAAGAATAATTCAGGTAGTGGTGCCTGAGTTGCTCAGTCAGCTAAGAGTCTGCCTTTGGTTCAGGTCAGGGTGTCTGGGACCTGAAATGGAGCCTGATGTGGGGCTCCCTGCTCAGCAAAGGGTGTGTTTCTTTCTCTCCCTCTGCCCCTCTTGCCTCTTCTGCTCTCTCTCTCTCAAATACATAAATAATTTCTTGAAGAAAATAAAAGGCTAATTTGGGGACTGTTGATCAGTATGAATGAAGGCTAGTGAACATGATGGCATTTGGTAACTAAGCATGGGCTGAGCTACCACTGTCGGGCCACTCACGGGGTTAGGGCTGGAAAATATGGTGTGTTAGGAGTTTCTTTATTTTGGAGAATGATGAGAGAAGCCAAGGTGCAGTGTCAGTGGGACAATGTCCTGGGAAAACTCTCTTATTCTTCCTTTCTCCTTCTCCCTTTCTCTGTATTTCTGTGTCCATAGCTGTCTCTCATTCTCTCTCTCTCTCTCTCACTCACAATTCTCTCTCTGTGTCACACACATGCACACACAACTCTGTCACACTCATAGGTTTAAACAAGTCACTCCACCCTAAGAGTCATGCACTCACAACCATACCAAACAGTGAACACACCGGCTCCTAGTATTGTAGAAATGTAGGCATGTTTTCTCACCTGGGAAAGCTGCCTATCTCACACCCCCAAGCCTCAGGAACATGGAACCGGGTGGCTGTCCAGAAGAGAACAGCAGGTTGCTGCATCTGCCGTACTATTTAGATTTTTTTTTTTTCTGCAAGAGAGGGGTTCCAGAATACATACCACTTTCGCTGTTTTCTGAGACGTCTGCACTTACACAAAAGAGTAAACCATGAGGGTCAGGTCATGTGTGTCCTTTGTCATTGGTTCTCCTAGTGAGTATTCAACACCACATGAGCAACAGTAGTAAAACGATAGGCCTCCAAAGGAAGCGCAGGTTGCACCCATGAAAAAGCAGGAGCTATTCCTGGGGGATGGATCTCTCGTTCACTGAAGGAGCCACACGAAATTCTTGAGGAAAAACTGCATGTGAGAGAAAGGTCCCTTACTACACTGTTTAAAACATCCCCTCCAAAACCCACAAAAATGGTCCTTACTCCTAAAAAATACACTGTTCCTTGTCATATCTGAATTCGCTCCAAAAAGAGGAAAAAAGGACCATTTCTAATTCAGGAAAATGGGTGAGCATTCCATAGAAGAAGTTGGAAACTCATTCACTGACTTTTTTGTGGAAAAACTCCTGCACCACACACTTGGCAAGATTTAGGAGGACACAAAATAACTGTCAATGCATTCATGGGATGTGGTGCTCAGGAATTACTGAGCGATCACTGTTTATATGGATACAGGCCAAGACTATTGTAGTGAGTGATTAATAAGTATCATATGAGGGTCTGGGGTCCATCCTCCTTGGTGGACGAGGAAAACCTTCAGCTCAGGCCAAGGCCCCAGTGTCCTGCAATCCATCCCCTCCTTGGGGCCTTGTTCAGCCCAGAATGTGCTTCCCCCTTTCCCTCTGCCTTTCTCCCTTGCTTATGCGTGCTCTCTCTCTGAAATAAATAAAATCTTCCCCAAAAAGTCAATGGCAACTTCAAGTAGCCTGACATAATCAGTGCACAAATAGAACTGATCTGCACATCGATTCCAATGATGACTTCCCATCGCTCATGCAGCTTGTTGTGAAACCCAACTAAAAACTCCCACCTTCTGGACATCTGGCAAAATCATTTCTGTCTCTGTAGGTCCACATATGCTGTCCTCTCTTTTGCAAATTTTTCAACCTGAAAAACCCCTTTTCTTGGTAGGTTTGATTCAATGCTAGACAATTATTCTCTTTTGTTCTATTTAGTCTAGTGCTCTGTTGTATTTATTCACTAACAGGTTTTTTTTTTTTAAGGTTTATGTATTCATGAGAGACGTAGAGGCAGAGACATAGGCAGAGGGTGAATCAGGCTCCATGTGGGGAACCCGATGCGGAACTCGATCCCAGGCCCACAGGACCATAACCTGAGCCAAAGGCAGATGCTCAACCACTGAGCTACCCAGGTGCACCGGTAATCAGTTTGGTGAAAATATTCCATCCGGGAGAGGTTTAAATACTCAAAGTATACCATTTACCAATAGCCATAGCTGTGAAGCAGAGTAGGAGGGACAGGCTTCCCATTATGCGTTAAAAAAATCACGGAGATCAAACGTACAGCATAGGGAATATGATCAGTGGAATTGTAATAGTGCTCTATAGGGACACATGGTATCTACACTTGTGGTGAGCACAGTATTACCCTATACAAGTATCGAATCCATATGTGGTACACCTGAGACTAATGTAACCTTGTGTACCATCTCGATTTCAATTAAAAAAAAAAAAACATAGTAATGTAGGCACCAGGCTCATTCCTTTAATTGGGCATCTACTTTGTGCTCATATCATGATCCCAGGGTCCTTGGATACATAATATTATGTATTTGTGAAAACAGTCAGGTGCATAACACAGAGCAGTCCTTAATATATGTGGTCAACTTCAATGATAATAATGTCTCTACACTGGTTTGTTCTTTGTGATAAAAATTCCACACTAATGCAGGCATGTATGATCGTGGAAAATATGTGCCAAGGGATAGGGTGATATGGAAATTTTTATAATATATGTTGCCTTATGACACCAGTCTAATCCTAATCTCAATAATAAGGTCTCCTTATTAAAACATAATCAGTGATTTTAGGTTGTTAATACTGTACACAGACTAGTGTCCAAATGTTAGCTTCACAACCCCTACCTTTTAATTTGACCAAATTTGAGTGGTAAAAGCAGTTTTACTATTTTGGCATAAACTACTGACTGACCATTTAAATTATGAATTTCACATATAAAATGTAAATAATATAGCTTTGTATTTTTGTCTTTAGTATGGTATCCTGAGCACAGTAAAAGAATGATTCTTTTTTTTTTTTTTTTTTTTTTTTTGTAAAGAGAGCAAAAGAGAAAGTGTAAGGGGGAGAGCAGTAGAGGAAAAGGGAGAGAGAATACTAAGCAGGCTCCATCCTAAGCATGGAGTCCAACCTAGGATAATCTGATGACCTGAGGTCATGAACTCTGAGATGAAACCAGGAGGCAGTCACATACCTGAATGAACCAAACCTGTGCCCCTGGAATAAGTTTTCTTGAATCAACTAAAGGAATGAATTTCCTGGTTACTTTCAATCGACTCCTTTGCTGGTTGTATTTTGGTTTTTCCTCAAGCGTGAAGTAGTTTGGTCCAGTTTTGTATCCACAGAGATCCATAAACATTTTTCACCTAAGGTTTTTGATTGTAGACACTGGGAAACTCGGTTACCATAGAGAGAGCTGTGGACATCTTGCTGTCAGAAGACCAAGTGGAAATTTTAAAACTTGACACGCACTATCCAGGATGAAAATTCACTGGATAGGCTCAGCAATCCGATGAAGAAACAAAGTAGACAGTGGACGTGTAAACAGAACGAGAGAAATCATACTATCATGAGAGGAGTGCAAAAAGACTGAACAAAAATTGATAGGAACTTAAACATGCATGCCTAGGATACATCAAAAGTGCTAAGTTCCACAGCATGGAGTTCCTGTAGGAAAGCAGTTGGTGGTGATCCCTGGGTGGCGCAGTGGTTTAGCGCCTGCCTTTGGCTCAGGGCGCGATCCTGGAGACCCGGGATCGAATCCCACGTCGGGCTCCTGGTGCATGGAGCCTGCTTCTCCCTCTGCCTATGTCTCTACCTCTCTATCTATCTATCTATCTATCTATCTATCTATCTATCTATCTCTCTGTGTGTGACTATCATAAAAAAAAAAGCAGTTGGTGTAGAAGAAGGTATGGGGGCAAAATGGCTGAAAATTTCATAAATATGTGACTCAGATCTACAAAGCTCTGAAAACCCTCCTCCTGACACATTGTAACCAATCTGCTGGCAAAGAGGAAGAAAAACCTTGAAAGCAGAGGAAAAGGACACATTCAACCTAACAGAATACGAATTCCAAGGCCCGTGACTTCTCAGAAAACAGAGGTCAGAAGACACTGCAATGGTGACTCAAAGTATAGAAGGAAAACACCTCTGAGCCTAGGACGTTATGTTCAGGAAAGATAGCTTGAAAGAATTAAGGCAAAAGGTGAATGAAAATGAAAACAAGACAAAGTCGGCAGACAAGCAGGTGGTAAACAACTGGAAGAATCAGTCATTGAGCAAATATTTATTTATTTTCATTAAAAAAATTTTTATTGCAGTTCACGTTTATTATTTTTAATATAGTTTGAGGGAAGGCCAATTTGGATATGAATGGGCTGAGGAAGAGGGAGGCAGAGAATCCTAGGAAGGTTTCATGCCCAGTGAGGAATCCCACGAGGGGCTGGATCTCAGGCTCTTGAGAGAATGGGCTGAGCTGAAATCAAGAGTCAGATGCTGAGTAATACTCAGCCATTAGAAACGACAAATACCCACCATTTGCTTCAACGTGGATGGAACTGGAGGGTATTATGCTGAGTGAAGTAAGTCAATCGGAGAAGGACAAACAGTGTATGTTCTCACTCATTTGGGGAATATGAATAATAGTGAAGGGGAAGGGAGAAGAAATGTGTGGGAGATATCAGAAAGGGACACAGAACATAAAGACTCCTAACTCTGGGAAACGAACTAGGGGTGGTAGAAGGGGAGGAGGGCGGGGGGTGGGGGTGACTGGGTGACGGGCACGGAAGGGGACACTTGACGGGATGAGCACTGGGTGTTATTCTGTATGTTGGTAAATTGAACACCAATAAAAATTAATTTATAAAAAAAAAAAAAGAGTCAGATGCTTCCCTGAAGGAGCCACCCAGTTCCCCTCAGTAAGTAACTTGGACATTAAATGATGAGCAAGAACCTTCTACCAAATGGAGTGAAATGACACAGGGAGATGCTTGGAACCTCAGGAACATAAGAACCTCAAAAGGGGTGTTTTTCTGGGTAAATGAGGTCTCCTGCTTTTCTGTCCTTCCAAATTTTGTATGGCTTTTGAGGGCAACAAGGAGACCACAGTCTCAGTGCCTGGGGCTCCCCTCCTTAATCAGTTGATCAAAGAGCCAATCCAGGCAATGCTGGAGTAGGTGCAATGGGCCTGGGGGCCTACGGGTTGGGGTTGCATGTAGCCCTGAGAGTGATATCCCACTGGGCTTATAATGTGACTGCTTTATGCGTGGGGTGATCTTAGGTACTTGAGACAAACTTAACCTTTATTCTTTTTAAAAAAATTTTATTTATGTTTAGGTAAATTCAGTTTGCCAACATATAGTGTAACACCCAGTGCTCATGCCATCAAGTGCTCTCCTCCTGGAATAGAAGAAATAGGAACAAGATAATGAGGGAAAGGAGGGGGATTGAGTGGGAAAAATTAGAGAGGGAGACAAACCATGAGACTCCTAAATCTGGGACACACTGAATCTTTGGAACAGCCCATACATGTCGTAGCCCATAGAGGAGATGAATGTGATGCTAGAGGTAAACTATGTTGCCCAATTTCCCTTAGCTTAAAAGTGGGCTGATGGGGTTTGTACAGCAGGTGAGGCCTCCTCAATACCAGCTCGAGCCAGCATCTGCCCTGATCCCTGGAAGGACTGGGCCATGGGCTCCAGGCAGGCATGAGGGAATGTCCTAGGCTGGGCCAACCCTTGACGTGGGGAGCAGGCCCAGCACTGTGTGGCTATAGCAGTGAGATCAGACAGGAGCAGAAATGCTGGCCTCCCTGCCTAGGGCCTGTGTCCTGGGCCTGGTCAGACCAGGAGGCTAGTTCTGCAGGACCTTGAGCACAAGCGTGTGCCGCCAGCCCAGCAGCTTTCACAGATTCCTCTAGATTCCCTGCACCCAGTGAAGGCCTTGGCTGGCTGCACTGGATCCCTTCTCACACAGAGGCAAGTGCAGATCTTATTCTTGTCCCAGGACTGAGGATTGTGCGAGGAGGGGAGGAGGGAACTGTGCTCCCGGCACCCCTCCCACCTCACTTCTGCTGGACCCAGGAGGAGATGCTGAGAGGGACCATTTCAGGGATGCCCATCCCTAGAGTGCACTTCCACCCTTTGGGCAGAACTGGGGGTAGCCCAGCATTGCTACTGTGTGACCTGTAGGTGCAGAGGGAGTGGGGCCCCGGCTGTACCAGCACCTGGCTCCCACGGAAGCTGTCTGTGTACAAGTTCAGATGGGCGTGGCACAGCTGTGTATCAAGAGATTGGCTCCATCCAAGACCAAAGGCAATAACCCGAACCAAAAGGTCTCCTGCTCTATTCCCAAGAGATGCCAACCAAACACAACAAGGGCTTTGATGCTTGCCAGTGACAAAGGGAGTCAGAGCTGGTCTGCAGAGAATGACCGTCAAATAAAAAGAAGAATATGACCAACTGCACAATCCAATCCCAGGGCAGAATTCTTCTTACTATTTTATCCAAATACCCTACTGTTTATGATGGAATAGACCAGAGAAGAGCACTTTCGTGGCTCAGTAGGTTAAGTGTCTGACTGCAGCTTGGATCATTACCCAGGACCCTGGGATCAGGCCTGTATCAGGCTCCCTGTTCAGTGCGGGGTCTGAATATCCCTCTCCCTCCGCCCTTCCCATTCTCCTCTTTCTCTCTCAAATAAGTAAACAATAAATGAAAAACAAGACAATTGCATTCCTATACATCGTCTTCTTTATTTCATCCTGCCCACTCACAGTCTACAAAGTAGCAGGTATACTCCAACTGCACCAGGGACCCCCTCCTGTTGATTCCCGCCTCATTGTGCTTCCGGACCTGAGGTTTCTTCCTCTTCAGGATTTTCATCCTCATATTCTCCACTGCCCAATCTTTAGAGATACAAACACGAGGATGAGTGAGGCCCCGTGTTCCTGCTACTCCAACTGAGGCCACTTTGGAACACCTGTCAACACCTGCTCTTCCTTGGGATCCTCAGACCTTCCCTGGGCTCTTGGGAGTTAGAGCCCTTCACCAAGACATTGACCACAGTGGCAAACCTTCCTTGAGAGAGAGAGGATGCCCCTTCACCTGGCATTTCCCCATTTCCACAAGATCATGATAGCTCTCACGTGGACACGGATCCACCTGGATCCACCTGTGATGGGTGGTGGACACCCGCTAGGTTAGATGGGGTCCATGTGCAGCCACTATGCCAGACTCAGAGCAGCTGCCCAGGAGAGCCATTCATGATGATGGAAATGATCTGTGTTTTCAACATGCTCTACTGGGCTCTGGCACTGTGGTTGGTATGATGAGGGATGGAATGTGTAACTTCATTGACTGTAAGGAATTTCAACATATGCAGGCATGTCTGGCTATCGGCTGCCTCCTTGGATAGCTCAGGTCTAGGATCCAAAAATGAGGAAGCTGTGACCTCCCTGCCCTAGGGGTTCCTGCAGTGGAGTTTGCTGGCCTGACCTGACTTCATTTCCGTTGGTCTCTGGGCTCCTATCCATGAGGCAGGCACTACAAGAGGTCCTGGCATCACTCAGACAGGAAGGTCTGCACTCAGGTCCTAGAGCAATCCCAGCAGGGGCTGCTTCTAAGCAGAGGAGAGGACCCCATACACATGGGCTGGTCATAGTCAAATAAATGAGGCAGAGGGGGCACACCTCATCCTCTTCAGGAGCTCACACTTTTCCTTCCTGATGCAGGCTAGAGCCTAGGTAGGTACTGGTTTAGTGTGGGGCCCCACACCCCAGACATGCTGAGCAGGGACCTTGCCAACCCAGAAGTGGATCCCAGTTCTTGAGTTGCTGAACTCACTGAGACCTGGCGTCCATGTATCTCTACTTCCCGCTATCTCTATGGACACAAACTACTTACCTGAATGCTACCCCTTTGCTTGTGAAAACATGTCCATGGGTCTCCACCTGGAAGACCCGTTTTCTGGTTTTGGTTTTTGTTTATTTCACTACACCGGTGATTTTCATTCCAGTGAGGACCCAGAATCAGATTGGCGCTCCTGACTAAAGACAGGAAGAGACTGCTTCAGGGTACGTACTGCTGTCACTAGTTCTGAGGCCACCTGCAGGTACAGAAGAGAGGACACCATGAGGCTCAGCTCCCTCTTACTCTGCACTGATTCTACTGCTCTCAAAAACTTAGGGAAGCCAGATGGGACATCACGTTTGACACACTGGTGCCCAAATAAATGACAGGACACACCTGGAGGAAGCTGCTTTTCCTGAAGGATGTGTCTCTCCAGCTCATTCAGATGCTGACTACAGGATCACTCAACCAAGCAGGAGAAACCATTGCTGAGGGAATGTACCCCATCTCGCTGTTTATTTCCAGCTTTGGTGTTGCCAATGGTAAACATCCTCTGAAATAAGGTAACGGTTGGCAAGGGGCAACCACTCAGCACTTTTCTCAAGAGGAAGATTATGTATTTCACCTCAGAGAGCCACTGTCTGATTTTCATCAGAATTTGTGTGGAAAGAAAGCAACATTCATTCCTCCGTTAACGATACTGAAGCTCACCTTGACGATACTGATTTGTTCTTCCTCACTGATGTTTTCCATGAATTTTTTTATGAGGAATGAATCCAAGGATGAAACTAGAAGGACACAGAGAATCCATCAGTACATTCGTCATGCTGCTCACGAATAACTCGGGTAGAGATTCCTGAGTTGCTCGGTCATTTAGGAGTCTGCCTTCAGCTCAGGTCAGGCTGTCTGGGACCTGGAATTGAGGCTAGTTTGGGGCTCCCTTCTCAGCAAATGGTCTGTTTCTCTCACCCTCCCTCTGCCCCTCTCACCTCTTCCGCTCCCTTTCTCTCAAATAAATAAGTAAAAGCATGAAGAAAATAAGAGAGTAATCTTGGGACTGTTGCTCATTACGAATGGAGGGCTAGAGAATATGGAGGCACGAGGTTAGCAAGCCTGGGCCGATCTGCACTGTTGGGCCACCCACGGTCTGAGGACTCTAAGATGTACTGTGTGAGGAGGTTCTGTTTTTTGTTATTTTTTAAGAATGTCGACTGAGTCCATCTTGTGGTGTCGGTGGGACATATCTGCTGGGGAGTCTACCTCTTTCTCCTTCTCACTTTCTCTGTATTTCTCTGTGTCACTATCTGTCTCTATCCCCTCTCTCTGTCTCACTATCCGTCTCTCTCTCACACACAAGCACACACTCACACTCACACTCTCACACACTGCATAGAGTCAACAAGTCACCTCCCCAAGCCTGTTGCACTCACAGCCACTCCACGCACAGAGAATACATTGGCTTCCCAGGAGTGTAGAAACACGGACCTCTTTTCTCACCTGGGAAAGCTGCCTATCTCACACACTCCCAAGCCTCAGGAACATGGAATCTGGGTGCCTGGACAGCAAGGGTGTCTGGGTGTGAGGACAGCAAGGTTGCCCCATCTGCCTTACTATTTAGAGTTTTTCCTAAGCAAGAGACTGATTCCAGAATACACACCAGTTACGCTGCTTTCTGAGACGACCTGCAGTTACACAAAAGGGGAGAAGATGGGGGTCAGTTCATGTGTGTGTACTTTGTCATTGACCCTCTGGTGAGTATTGAACACCAAATGAACAAGTGTTGTAAAGTTAAAGGCCCCCAAAGGAAGCACAGATTGCACCCAGGGAGAAAGCATGAGCTTTTCCTGGGAGATAGATCTCCCAGGTTGACGGAAGCAGCAATTCCAAATTCAGAATTCAAGGCGGAAAAGTGCTTCTGAGCAAATGTCCCCTACTGCACAGTTTACATCCTCCCCTCCCAACACCCCACCAAGAGACGAGGTAAATACAGGTAAAGTGGGGCAGGCTTCCCATAGAAGTGGGTGGAGAGTCTTTCAAGGATTCTTCAAACTCAGACGCCACAGCCTTGGCAAGATCTAGGAGGACACAGAATATCAGTGCATTGGTTGTGGTGCTCAGGTATTAGTGAGATCAGTGTTTACATGCATACAGGGGAAGTCAGCATGGTAATGAGGCTACTGCTAGGCCGTCATTGGTGGATGAGGAAAAACCTTTAGCTCAGGCCAAGGTCCCAGGGTCTGGGATCCATCTCCTCTTTGGGCACCCTGCTCAAAGGGGTTGTGCTTCTCCCCTTCCCTCTGCCCTTCTCCCTTGCATATGCTCTCTCTTGCTGTCTCTCTGTCTCTCTCAAATAAATAAAAACTTTTTTAAAAAGGCAATGGCAACTTTAAGTATCATGAAATAATCAGTGTAAAAGAGAACTGATGGGCACATCGATTCCAATGATGGGTTCCCTTCGCTCATAGAGCTCGTTGTGAAACCCAGCTCCACGTTCCTACCTTCTTGACCTCTTCCAAAACCATTTTTGCCTCTGTAGATCCACATATGCTGTCATGTCTCTTGTATGGTTTTGCACTTGATTTCAACCGTCAAAAGATGGTGGGCTTGTGCAATGTTGGGCAATCCTTCAATCTGTTCTTTTTTAGTCTATTACTCTGTTGTTTTTATTCATTAATCTGTCGTTATCAAAATCAACCATTATGGGAGAGATTTAAATACCGAATGTGTACCATTTACAAATAACCATAGTTGTGAAAAAGAGCGAGGAGGGCAGGCTTCCACATGTACATCAAAGCAGTCATAGGGTGAAAGGTCCAGCATAGGGAATATGATCAATGGAATGGTAATAGTGCTCTATGGGGACCCAAAGAATCTATGCTTGGGGTGAGTGCAGTTTCAATAAACGTAAGTGCCAATCATAGGTGGTACACCTGAAACAGATGTAACCTTGTGGGTCATCTTCACCCGAATTTAAAAGCCATAATAATGTGGTCAGCAGGGTGGTTCCTTCGGTTGAGCATCTCTCTTTGGCTCGTGTCATGATCCCAGGGTCCTGGGTTACAGAATATTATGCACATGTCAAAACACACCCTAATGCAGAGCAGTCTTTAATAGAAGTGGTCGACGTCAATGATAATAATATCACTACACCGTTTTTTTGTAATAAATGTTCCACAGTGATGTTGGTGAGAATACCTGTGGACGTTTTGTGCCAAACAATAGGGTGATGGGTAAATTTTTCATACTATATGCTGCATTATGATATAAACCTGACCTTAACGTCAAGAATATGCTCTATTTATTAAAACACAATAAGAGTTTTATTTGCTAATATAAAACACGGACTAATATGCCCAATGATAACTTACGACACTTCCCTTTAATCTGAACAAATTAGAGTTCTCAATGCGATTTCATAATTTTGGACACAAACTAATGACTGACCTTTTAAATTAATATTATCACACATGAAACAAAAGAATATGGCTTAGTATATTTGTCTTTAGTATGGCACCTTCAGCAAAATTGAGTAATGATTCTTTTTGTGTGTGTGTGGAGGGAGCAAAACAGCAAGTGTAACGAGGAGAGGGGCAGAGGGAAAGGAAGAGAGAGTACAAAGCAGGCTCCATGCTGAATATGGGAGAATCTGAAGACCCTGAGGTCACGACCAGAGCTGAAAACCAGGAGGCCGAAATTTAGCTGACAGAAACACTCAGGTGCCCCTGGACAAGATTTCTTGAGGCGATTTAATGAATTAATTTTTTTAAAGAGTTTATTTATTTATTCATGATAGTCACAGAGAGAGAGACAGAGAGGCAGAGACACAGGCAGAGGGAGAAGCAGGCTCCATGCACCGGGGCCCGACGTGGGATTCGATCCCGGATCTCCAGGATCGCGCCCGGACCACAGGCAGGGGCCAAACCTGCGACACACAGGGATCCCACGAATGAATTTTCATGTCACCTACTAATGACGCCACGGACGGTTCCAACTTCTGTGTGTACCACAGGGGATGTTAAATTAAGTATTTTCACCCACACTCCAGGGCGGGTGTCCCCAGGTTGTCACCACGGCTCTCGGTCCAGCGTTTCCACAGT